AGTACAAGTCTCACTGAATGGCTGTCTCTATGATACTAGGACCAGACCTATGGTAGGCTGATGTTTCATAAGAAAATAGGGTCACCCGTCTCCCCAGTATTTCTTCCCCACCTTACTGGCCACTAATTCTCTCCTAACTCCCATATCGACCCTCTCATTTTCTATTCAAAACTTCTAGCAATTATCCCATTGCCTATAACAAACACAACTTCTTAGCTCAGCTCTTTATCCCCACATATGGCTAAAATTACCAAACGATCTTCTTCTAATACCTTCGGAAAACCAACTGTCTTATTCTACAAATATATACAGTACTTTCCCCCACCTTGTAGCCTCTGCTCAGGCTCATTTATATGACTGCCACATCCTAGATATGTGATCCTTCCCTGGCTCAGGTAATGGTTCCTGTTAGTCAAGGTCACCTTAAAGGTACACTCCTCAAATCGCTCTTCCTTATCCATTCAACAAAACGACACCAAACTGTGCTGCATGTCTAGCACATTTAGTCCACACTCGCATTTATTTATGTGTATATATAATTCCCCAGCAGCATAAAGTATAGTGATATCAAAGCTGATGTTTTAACCAAGTCTATAACCCTCACTGTAACTGACAATATCTTCATCATCATCAACATTACTATGTGCCAGGTGCTACTACAAATGCTTTACAAGAATCTTGTGGGGTAGGTACATCAAACTATTTTTCCCATATACAAATGAGAAGACTGGGTCATAGACAGGGGGCCTTCACAGAAATTTAAACACAAGGGGTATGAAATTATATTTGTGAATGGATAAATCTATTACTAATAACTGAGCATTGATACTGTTGCATAAATTAATCCATCAACCCAGAACGCTTTCCCCTTTCTTCTCAGCTCAGCAAAACTCTCCTAGGCTTCAAGACCCGACTGAACTATGACCTTTCCAAAAAAAGTCGTCTCCTGCTAACACCTTGGCAAAACGTTAGTTACTCCTTCTATGAATGGTCTTTGATACTTACAATGTGTTTTTATTATAACACTAAGTTTATTTAGATGTTTTCTCAGTTAGAATAGATTTCTTAATGGTAGTTTGTTCAATATTTTTAATACTCAGAAACAGTAACTGAAAAGCAAAATGAATGCAATTTACATCTGCTGTATATATGAAATAAATACAAATGGCTTATTTTATTAACAAAATTTGATAATCACACAATTTTTTTCTGCAACATTTAGTGGATGTATCAAATTATAAAGTTTAGTATAGCTAAGTCTAATTCAGAGGGTCTATTCTTTCTTTTATTTTATCCAAATAAAGCATTATTCTTAAGAAATGGGAAACAGACTTACCAGTCTTCTCCTTTCTTCTTCTACCGTGATGAGTAGTCTTGCAAATTCTTTTAGTGACTGAGCTATTTAGAAAATAAATTTTAAAAAGAAGTATTAACCTTTTATCATTGCTAATATCTAAATGCAGAGGAATAAACATTACAATGCAGCTAGTTATAACTTAGTATATATTCTGAGGTTTTATGTTTTTATAAGCACAAAACAGTATATACATTAGGATCTCAATGACTAATAGCTATAGGTCAGAGAATGACTATACTGAGAATTGAAGTTAAGCATGTGTCAAGTGTAATATTTTTTCTTCAAAGACACCAAGGGAATACAATTTATATACTTAATATATAAAACTTACATATTAATAAATAAAAGTATAGTACTAGAATCACTTCTAAACAGGATAATGAAAAATATATTAAATCTATAAGAAGCACAATAAATCCAGTACTCTTACATGTACTTAGTAGCAGCCAGTAACACAAGATGTTCCACTGACTTCTTCCTAAAGTTCAACAGTAACAGATTCTTAAAAGACAGATTCTGTATTCCTCCTATAGCCAAGATAATTTAGACCTTTGCTAGTCAGTGTGGTGGAACGGCATTTTGAGAACTTGTTAGAAATATAGTCCCCACCCCAGAATCTACATGTAACGAGATCTCCAGCTGACCTGTTTCAGATAAAAGTTGAGAAACACTGCTTGATCTGAACCTATGTTGCTGTGGCATGGGAAAAAGATCAAGTACTCAGAAACATTAAAAGCACAAACCAAAAATAACAGGAAGTTACAGTGGCATATTCTTCATGCATAGTCTCAAATAGTGACTGTAAAAGAGAAATTCATTCACATCAATTTTTATATCGTCTACTTAATATAAATTTATTAACTAAAGTTGAAATGTTTTGTTACAATATTAACAAAATAAATAAGATGAATGCAAAATATTTTTACTTAAGCTTTGAACCTTTCCTCCTATGTTTTCTTTTTTAGACTCCCCTTTTCCATTCCTTCATCCATACTAACATTGAAAACATTCTGTGAGACCAGAAGTCTAGTAAGTCTGGCATAAAACACATACTAAAGGTAAGTGAGGAGAACAAATCAAGAGTCACATCAACAGACATTATTAAGAAAGAATGTTTTCAAGAATTTAAAATTCCAATCTAAGATTTTTTCCCCTCTTTTTTTTTTCCAGAACTGCTAAGCTCACATTAAACTAAGCTGGTTTAAAATGCTATCCCTATGATTACTTCACATTGGGTTTTATTCAGCTGCCAAAACAGAAATTAAAGGATTGCCTGGGAGATTTAGATTAATATGATAAACACATTAATGGCCTCAGAGTAAGAATAATTTTTTAAGAAGTTTTAACTTCTGCAAAAATAATTATCGATACTACAAAACGACCCAGTTTTGACAACAGGAAGTTGAACAGAAAAACATTTTACAAATACAGAGATTTTAACTGGAGTGTGTAATAGCATATTATATTTTTGTATTTTTGATAAAGAAAGTATTCCATCATCATTCTGGAGGCCACCTACTGTCACTGAAGATCTCTGTGGGTGAGCCTGAAGAAAATGTCAACAAAACTTTGGATGATGGAAGGCAATGTAAACATGCCTAAAGAGAAAGAAGCCTAGAGATAAATCAGTTTGGGCTACAGGAATTAGAGGCAGTAGGTACTCCTAAAGGTGAGAACACAAGAGGTATAAATGAAAGAGTAGTTGAAAGTCTGTATAAGAAACACTTTAACCCCAGATTTCTAACTCGATTCCTCCCAAACATTTTAATTAAAAAAAAAAAAAAAAAACCTTTACCTGCATTTTTTTTTTTTTACTTGGAAGCTGTTAGATTACACACAATAACAAAACATGGGACTAAATGAAGAGAAGATATGGAATTTAGAAATAGATGGTCCAATACAGAAAAGAAGCAAATGGAATTCTCAAGACAACACACATATCTATTCCAGGACAATAATTGTGCAAAAGGCCTAGAGAGGATCTTGTCCAGACCGGAGCAATAGGTGAGTGGCTCCAGAAAATGTCCTCGGAGAAAGGAAAATAGAGCTGATCAATACCCTGATGTGTCAGTATAAAGAGAAAATATTTATACTCCTTTTTTAAAAGAAAATTCAAAGGCAATTATTAACTTCTGGGAAAACAATGTTATATACAAGCAACGCAGTCAAAATTAATGAAATAGCTGAGCTGTGAGTAAAATGTACAAAGCCACTGTAATATAAACATTAAAAATTGATTTTGGCAAAATTAAGCTTTTACTATTGAGAGAATAGTGTTAAGAAACATGTAAGATAGTATGAACTCAAGACATAGTGTGACAATAGTATGAAGTAAAAAGATGAAATCTAAAACTGAAAAAAAAAATCAAGAAGTAGCAAGATACTCATGAACTTTAAAGAAATGGAAGAAATGGCTAAAAGTTCAAAACGGTCTTTCTGGGAAGTTAAGTGGTAGGGACTGGTAAGATAGGAGATTGCTAGTTTTTGTTAAGTTTAATAAATACCTATAACTTTTTAAATAAAGAATGAAAATAAAACATGCTATTAATGTTCATTTTCCTACTAACCTAAGTTCTACAAGGGTATAGATCACACATTAATTTTCCCAAAGGGTTAAATAAACAGCTAGCACATAGAAGCCTGCCAACATTTGGGGAATAAATGAAAATATTAACTTGATTATAGATTGGCAGGGGTATACTAGAACCTCCCACTTGGTCAACCCAGAAAATAGTCACTGGCTTACCCTAAAAGTCCCAGACAGTATTTTACAATTATGACTGTGCGAGTCCACAAGCATCCCTCGGTAGCTACTAATCTGAGAGTAAATTGTGGAGTTTCCTCAAATCAGATTTTGATTACAAGTAAGGAAACTCAGTGCTGTAGAATCTCTGTCCAAAAATTAATAATACTGTTTTCTGCTTTACTTGGTTTTCTGGTCTGTTTCCACTATAAATACTATTTATATTATAGACTCTGGACAATAATAATTTATTATAGTGAGAATGTTAGAGAAAAATTTTAACATGCAAAAGCAATCACATGTCTGGTTCCTCACAATAAAAACTACTCTTCTTGAGCAGTTTTCTGAGTCTGGCCCAATTTATCAAGTTTTGTTTCCTTTTTTCCTTTGGTTGATTTTTCAGGGAAATGACTTCAAAAAACTATGATTTTTCTTTTTAAGTATAATCTCGGTTCCATAAAAGTATATGTTTCTTGGTCCAAATGAAGATATTCGTGTTTGTCATTTGTTTTGTAAAAACAAAAAAAAAAAAAACAAAAAACAAACAAAACAAAAACAAGCCAGGAATGCTAAATATTTCATTAATTAGTGACAGTGGCCTACTAACTTTTTAAACCCATATCTAACATTTTTCCTTAATCTTTTTATTTATAATGATGTCAAAGTATTGCATTAATAGCTTATAAGCACAAGGTAACACAAAGAAAATAGTAATTAACAATCCTATAAAGCCGATATAAAATAGTTCTAGTTATTATCTTGTAAATTGGGTTTTAGGATTAAGGGCTGAAGGATGGTCAGTCCCTTCCTTGCCTGCTCATGCTCAAAGTCACAGGAACCTCTGACACAAGTCAGACAGAGATCCAAACTGCCTAGTGTATTCCAAATGAAAAGCCAGTATTAGAATATTTGGCACAGGGGACCCACAAGTGCCATAAAGAGAGCATGAAAACTGGAGAAAGTCTATTCTCCAGCAGACCTTGGGCAGAAAATGTATACAAAACGACTCCACCAGCACCCATCACAGTGCCTCATACGAAACAGCTATTGATTTTGTGACTGCTTGAAACATTTCTTCTAAGACCTTACCTAAGCAAAATCAGAAAATATTTACTACATGTAAATTTCTAATACCTAAAAACTTTTTTATAAGCAAGTTATTTGTGACATTACATATTTTATTTAGCAATATTTACATAAACAACCATCTCATTATCTGATTTAGGAGGTCCAGGCTAACTTCAAATATCAGAGCTCATCTTGCAATTACAGATTTTGACCATACCTAGGTGGTATTACAGGAGGTTGATTTAGTGAGAACAATATTCCAAAAACAATACCTAATACACAGTGGGCTTTCAACAGACAACCATTAAATGAATTAATGAGTTTAACAATACATTCCCACAGCCTATTTGCTCTATGAGCAGAAACATACCAACTCTTATTTTAGGCTTCATAAAATATTATGGAAAAAAAAAAAATAGCCAGATACTTTGGGAAACTATGTTAGCTATCCACATTCTTGCCACCTGCCTGAAACTTTCCTGGCTGTGTTCACCACTAATAATCTTTCCTCTTCCTGACCATCTGGACCATGAGATTACTGGAGAGCAACCAAAATATAGTTTCATATATAAATCTTAACTTTCCAACAAATTATTGAAGTGCTATGGGCTTCCTTTTCATCTCCACGATGTGATATTGGAAAAACACTTTTGGAACAAAAGAAATCAATTATTTAGGTGCATTTATGACACCTAAAGACCCTGAGAGTACAAACATTTACAAGATACAGCTGGATTATACCTAGAGAGTGAGAAGTATGATAATAGCTTCTATATCATAAATTCTGAAACATTCCTGAACTGTCTAAAATACCTATTTCCTAACAATCTTTTCAGCAGGCTTAAATACACTCTACCATTTTTGACTGCGGAAAACCTATTTAGTGTCTGGAAGTAGGAATGAGAGAGAAGAAAGACAATTACTCCATGTCCATTGGTGAAATAACTCCACTACCTGAAATATTAAGCATTATACTATTAAATGTTTCAACAATTGATCAGCTTGGGCTTTACAGATTTTACAACTAGAAGGAAAATTGAGAAAGCAGGTCTCTCTTGTATTCAGCCAAGCCTTTCTTCAAATCTAAATGGCAAAATACATACTCAAACAAAAGTGCAGATCACAAATTCATAACATTTACAATTCTGTCAACAATACATTTTTTTCACTTTATTAGAATGAGCAAATCACTTATGACATTCAGGTATGCTGATGAATAGAGGAGAACTG